TTTATTTTATGTCAGCAGGCTGAAAGACTGCCAGATGTGCAGTAAGTGGGTGAACACACTCCAAGAAGAATATTTGCCATCATTCCCTCTGACATTAATTTCTAAACTTTGTCCTGCTGAGCCAGATGAAGCGTTTGAACAAGTTCAACATCTTTAAAAGTGTGAAATTGAATTGATTTATTAAGAATATAGTGGATTGTTTATGTTACCTTAAGTGTTGCCTCATTGTTGCCTCATCTAAATAACGGAGAGGCATTTGTTCAAGGGTTTGTTTGCTGTTGATGTTAAAGTTGATTAAAACACGTCAAATAAAAGTTCAGATTTTGATGACTGATTCTTTCTTGCTTTCCTTGTGAGGTCAGCCTTTTTCACTTCTTCAAGATACTTTAACAGACTAACTTATAGTTCTGTAACTAAAACATTTGACGAGTCTCACCTCTTATTTCTTTAGCTCTATGAACAATATAGAATTTCTCTTTAGAAATGTTTTACATGGAGGGAGTGTAGCGTTGAATAGGAGATGAATGGGGACAGAAGCTACAGTATATGCTACCACAGCCGTATTTAACAGATGGAAGGATGTTCTCAGCCTTGAACTCCTTCCTTTTCTTCAAAATGTAACAAAATGTTCATTTTAGCTTCATCAGACTACAAGGCACAGAAATCTAAAATTTAAGGTATTTGCCTTTGATCAGATTTGCAAAGATTTATATGAATTCTTCCTTGCTGATAGTGTAGAATGTTTTTTTATTAAGGTAAGGACAATTCAAACAATGCAATCATTTTGCTTTTCTTTTAAGGCTAAGCCACATGTTTCACATCAAAACACTGGGACACATACTCTGTCTACTTCCTGATATGTATATGGTGTATGATTATGAGGAAATTCTTATTTGTTTTTACAGTTGTGTATATTTATTCGCTTAAAATAATTTATTAGCTTCATGCACTTGGCGATTTCACCAAATAATGAACTAGATGTTAAAGTTCCCCCTGAAATCTAGCATTAATTCTTTTGTTTTTCCCATGATGAAGTAGTGTGCTTGATGTGCTGCCTTAAATACTGTACATCCCCAGATGTATTCTTTCTATAAAATATATGTTTTAGCATTTTTATCTTAACTAAAGCAAGAAAAGTTTTGTTTTTAACACGGCTTTGAAAAAAGACATTTCAAAACGACTTTAAAATGCCTAAAAAAAATCCTGAATATGGTTATGAAATTTCATGCATGAAAGCTTAAAAGCATAATTATCTCATCTGTTTATTTATCAGAAGGATTATTCTGGTGTTGGTTATACATTATATCCACGGTGAGTGAGGGTCAGAGGTCAACTCTATGTTCCCGCGGTGAGTAAGGTCAGAATGCGTCATACTCTGAATTCTGATTGGCTGAATCAACTACTGCACACTCCAGGATTTAATCATACCACACTGTTTATGTTTCACAGGCTGTTCTTATTTTTTTTTTTCTTTTTCAAGTATTTCTACATACCTCGACTTGCTCTGTTTGTCTGTATCTTTAGCAGAAAAGCTACTACTGCTACACCTCTTTTCAGAGCCAATCAGTGATTAGGTCAGCGGTGACCACTATATTAACTCCGTTTGGTCTCACTCTTACTCAAAATACATCGAGTGTTTGACGGTTTCTCAACAAATTTTACAGACATTTAAACATTTCTTTTGAAGAACCACCTACAGCCATGGCACCAATTCTTCTCAACTGTATGGGAAGTGAGCACAAGGACTACATCAAGTAAGTGTTTTACGTATTTAACATTTTAAGCTTTTAATCTCATATGCATTTTGGATTTAATTTCGACTAAGTTCTAATATAAGTTGAAATAATCTTAGACAACAGGTTCAAGTAAAAAATCCTTATTTGGACTCGATGGAAGAGGACATTCTGTACCACCTCAGCTTGAGCACAAAGACTCACAACCTTCCAGAAATGTTTGGTGATATTAAGGTTTGTGAAAGCATAGCTATAGGAAAAAAAAAAACCTAACATGTATGAAGCCAAACTCCCCTTTTTAACTGCATTCTCTCTGTTTCACTTAGTTTGTGTGTGTGGGTGGCAGTGCGAATCGAATGAAGGCTTTTGCCCAATTCATGCACCAGGAGCTGAACCTACCAGGAAGCCCAGAAGATATCACAGATATCTGTGAGGGGACCGACCGCTACTGCATGTACAAAGTTGGACCAGTGCTCTCCATAAGTGTACATATTCAATTTTACACAGGTTAAAAATTATGTAAATGTAGTCAGACATCTTCTAGAAGTTATTTTCCTTTTCTTTATTCTGTAGCATGGAATGGGTGTCCCTTCCATCTCTATCATGCTTCACGAGCTCATCAAACTGCTTCATCATGCCCAGTGCCGTGATGTTGTTTTGTTTCGCTTGGGAACATCCGGCGGAGTCGGTAAGACCGGATTATTGTCCTCCTGTAGATGGAGGGTTTAGAATAAATAGAGCTAAATTAGTAGATGCACCTAGAACAATCTTCTAAGGTAGTTGTAATGTGTTATCTGCAGGTCTGGCTCCAGGCACAGTCGTAATCACTGAAAAAGCAGTGGACTACTCTTTCCGCCCTCAGTTTGAACAAGTTGTTCTGGGTAAAGTTATCACTCGGAGTACAGAGCTGGATGAAGGCGTTGCTAAGGATCTTCTGCAATGCTCCTCCGAGTTGCAAAACTTCCCATCTGTTATTGGAAACACCATGTGCACCCACGACTTCTATGAAGGTACTAGGCTGAAAATATGCTCAGATTCATATTTAAACAACTGGGAATTCCCTTGAACTGATCATGCACTGAAACTCTCCTGTATCTCCATAGGCCAAGGCAGGCTTGATGGAGCTCTCTGCTCTTTTTCTCATGAGGAAAAACTGGAGTATCTTAGGAAAGCCTACGAGGCTGGAGTGAGGAATATCGAGATGGAGTCCACCGTATTTGCTGCCATGTGCCGAGTCTGTGGGCTAAAAGGTGTCATTTAATAATCAACAATTGACTCTTAGAATGAACCGATACAAGATTTCTGAACATATCTGACAATTGGTCTAAGAGATGTTACAAGACAGGCAGAAAAAACATTTCCTGCTTGTACTGTGGTTAGAGCAAGAATCTTCGACACACAGGACCACAAAGAATAGCCTCCCTGGTAAAAAACGCTATCATAAATTAATTTTTAATCGCAGTAGAATATCAAAAAATTTTGAAAAAATCCAAACTTTAACACAGCTTGAGGAAAATCTGAACCATTTACAATTTTATATAACCTCTTTAAAAAGGGAAAGAAAATAGAACATTGCAGTCAAGTCAGGGAGGTTTGTGTTGATTCTTAGTTGACAAATGGCAACAATAATGATTAAACGCTTCAAACTATGACAAACAATTCGGGACGGCTTTTGTAAAAATCTTTAGATAAGCTAGAAATAACAGTGAAGTTGCTGGAACAGCACAGTAAGCTGTTATAAATATCATCACTCATCTCTTTTCTTTTTTTTTTTACTCTTCAGCGGCTGTGGTGTGTGTTGTGTTGCTGAACCGCTTCGAGGGCGACCAGATCACCTCCCCACATGATGTTCTGGTGGAGTACCAGCAGAGACCTCAAGTCCTGGTTTCCCACTATATCAAGAAACGCTTGGGACTCATCGCCTGAATTCTTTGCCCCTCCTAACAGCTGTATAGAGCTTTGACTACCATGTGGATATGTACATACATGTACTGTACCTAATGTTAATAGTCGGATTAGACAAATATTTAAGTTTTTTATGATTTGATTGAACTTTGAACAGTATTTCTTTTACATCTATTTAAGTGTGTGTTGTATCTTTTCATATTAAATTAATTGGTATTTATGTAAGATAACACAAGTCTTTGCAATGATGTGTTCTGTGTGCTTATTTTCATAATGACAGGAATAAATAAAGAACTTTATAAAAAAAAAAAACATATAGTTTATAATGTTGTCATTTTGTTGATCCCTTGGAATATGGCAGCATGGAGCTCAAACAATACATTTAATTGTTAAATGTTATGAGTTGGATATATATATTTCATATTTACTAGTTTATGTGAAAAATGCATGTTATTGGAAAATGAAACTTCATGAAAACTGTCAATAAATATTAGCAAGCGATTTGCAGAATCCGGATGGTTACGATGACTTATCACAGCATGTTATTCACTAGTATAATATATATGAAAACATTTTATAAATGGTTAATTGTTATCTTATACTTTCTCGTGGACTTTGGAAGAGTGGGAGCTGTGATTGCAACAGCATCAACTGTTATGTAACTATGTTTTAACCAGGAATGTTCCAAATCTTAACCCAAGTAACAGACCGGGGTCAGTATGGGGCATTTTAAATGGCCTGCAGTATCAATATGCTGTTGTTGGTGTGCTGACTGTGATTTCATATCACTCTGCCTGAACTGTACAGGTGTTATCTGCTCTGATAATTGTTCATATGCACGGCTTATAAAACTGGATATGTGCCAGGAACAGTTTCCTGTTTATTCAATGAATCTGGGTTTTCCCAAACAATCTTTTGTTACCCTACAATAAATTCAGTCACTCTTTCATCTGTGATTAAACCCGCCCCAGGAAAGAATTAGAGAGCAACTGAAACTGCTTTCATTCACACTTAAAAACAGTGCAAGAAACAAACAAACAGGCTTCTTCCGTAATATCAGAATGGAGAGTAAACACTATATGAGCCTGTGTCTTTAACAGTATAAAAATATCATCAGCAGGAGCAACGTGTAAGTTAGTAAGAGGTTGACAGCATGTCAGAAAAATATCTGTCGCTCTCAAACCAAATTCATATTAAGCATATAATCAGCGGTAGGTGAGGAGATAAGGCTGATGAAACCTTCTCAACTGTTGACATTTTGAGCATATCTGTTTCAGAAGTAGCCAGTGACTCATTATTAGACTATGTCTATTGTTATAGGAGGTAAGGATTCAAAATAAAAACACACCCAAAAAGATGGAATTCCTCATTTGCATGTATTTATTTGCTTAACAGCATTAAAATCAAAAAGCTAAGAAAAATGTTGGGTAAAAGCACACTTAAGCAAACAAAGCCCTAGAATTTAAGTGTAGATTTGGTGTCCTTTCTTGGCATTTTAAGGGGCTTGATTTGGGACAGAATTTCCTTTGCGTACAGGTTCTGATGTACTCCAGCCTTTCGAAAGGCCTGCTCAGCTCGAACCCTCGGATCTGACACAATCTGTGGGACAGAAATTCAAAGAGAACACACTAAATAAATTACACATTTACTGCTTTTTCCACTAGATTATGCTCATGTTAGTTATAAAGCTTAGGGGTTATGCTCTATACGGAGAAACAGTTCTGCTGGATCCAGCAGCCACTGCAGTTTATTGACTGACATGGTGTCCTTGAGATCTTGGCTGTGTGCTGATATGAGGACAAACATTGTTTGATCAGCTACTTGCTTTGTATATGTTCCCTGACAGCATGGGTCAGTCTCAACTAAAGTGAAACGAAACCTGGACAACTGATTATAAATCAACAAATGACAGACAGGCAGAATGAATAGAATAATACTGCAGCTGGCCATTTGCATCTTTTAAACAACAGGTAAAGATGAGAGGTCAGATATTATAATGCCTCACCTGTTTGTCTGTGTACGTGTTAATACTGTAGAGAGGCCTCTGCAGCTCAAACTCTCTCTGATTCAAGCGTCGGTTCCTCCAAGCTTCAGTATCTGCCATCATCCTCTCTGGGTCGGCCTCTGCCTGCACTTCAACCTGAGATAACAGAAAGACTTAGAACATCCGACTGTCCTCTTGGATGCAGCCAAAAGGGGGCACTGATGCCTTTGCTCAGGTAAGATGGTGTCCAGTTCAACCCTTGTGAGTAATTTTAACAGACAGAACAATTGTGAGCGGCTCAAAGTGTTAAGACAGGCTAATGGTTCACCTGCTTTCTGAGAGCTTCCAGACGATCCCGTCTCTCTTGTTCCTCCCTCTGCTGCTCGAGCTCCTGCTTTTCCCTCTCCTTCATTCGTCGCTGCCACACTTGGGTGCGAAACTGCACCCTAAAGGTAACAGAGAGATGCAGTTGGACATCAGACATGGATGACACCTCTGTTCCTCAGCCAGGGCCTGAGGAAGCTTTAGCCATCATTTCACACAGGCTGAACCTGCGGGCAGCGGTGGGGTTTAATGGAGCTGCCAGAATGCTAGTCTTCTCAGAGTATCTGTTTTTATTTCTTTTTCAGGCCCCCACCTGCTTTTTGTCAAGTAAATACAGTCTAAATCTGCAGTTTATTTCAATAACAGTCTGATTTCAAACTATTAATTCTCTTGCATTGCATGTTAATCTAAAACTTAAAAAATGATATTTCAAATGAAAACACGAACATCTTATACAAACATTTGTTTTTTCTCTATGACATTAAATCAAACATTACCTTATGTTCAGATATATATATTTTTTTAAATTACGTAACAGCTTTGTTAGCTCTGAATTAATGTTAATTCAAACACACTGCACTGTCTGACATCATGGGAACATCAAAACTATTCACTGAGGATGTTAGGAACCCCAACCTCAATTTTAGGTACCCTGTACCTCAGCGATTACTCATTGGTTATAATTTCTAGATGTCTAAAAATGATATTCATTTGTTCAGCTAGTTACATACTAGTCTAAAGACCAGGAAAATCATCTATTTCAACAAGAAATTGGCTCTGTGTCAAAAAGAGATAGTCATGTTATGGTTTGTTTCGTGTAAATCTAACATGGAAAACAGAAGCAAACAACTGTGTGAACTTGGTGGCAGAAAATGAAATAAACAGTATTGGTTGAAATTGTGGTTGTGGTTGAGATATAGTATATTATATGTTCTTTCTTATGCATTTGCCTGCCTAGGGACTACGAAAGAATACTAGCTTTGTAGCTATAATCCGGCATATTTACATTTGTTTTTATACTTATGTTCATTAATGTGCTTTTTCCCTATTCAAATAAATAAATAAATGAAATGAAAAGTGAAAATGCCACTAGGAGACAACAAGCAGCTGGATGTCCATGATAGGAGATCTGGCTTTGAATAAATCTAGGTTCTGACAGATCTAATTGAAGTGACCTGGAAAAAAAAAAAAAAAAAAGCAGTTCTGCAGGTTTAGTTTCAAATCCCAGGTCCATGTGAAATGTCACAACTAACCTGATGCAACAGAAATATAAAAAAAAAAAATTGAAAACAGTCTTTATTAGCCTAAATTGGCTTGAGATCAAATGATTTAATGCTGCAGAACTAGACATATCTTATCACTGTTACCTGTCATGTCCAGCACTTTATGTCAGTTTTTAAATGTCAGTCTTGTATATTTCTTGTATATTTGTATATTTCTAGAGAGTAAACGTAATTGACTTGATATGCAGAAACCAAAAATTATAATGTAAGAGTGTTTATGAAATAGGGACCATATTTGGGAGCAAACAACATCACAAACTGGAGCTAATGTCTCATTTTAAATTGCTGAAGTAAAAGATTAAAACCAAGACACGGAAATTCTGCATTACAAATTTTAAGTATTCAGAACTTTTGTGAAAACATTTTAAACTTATAAAATTGTTATTCTGCTCCGATTACTGCAGCAGAGAGACAGATGGTCCGTATGTAGAACTGAAAGAAACAGCAGAGGCCTCTTCAAATCAATCAGCCTGATGTCAGTATTTTCACCTGTTGTGTTTGCGCATCATGCTCAGGTAATCAGTAAATCACTGTTTACAGAGCAGGCCAGCCTTGGATGGGAACTAATTAAAACTGACAGATGTCAGAGTGATGCTGTAAAAGCAGGGCTCTTTCAGTCTGTAATTAGGGTGAAATTCAGTATTTCTTAAAGGTCAGAGTGTGGCACTTCATAGAGTTTTGAGGAAACTGCTGCCAGCTAAAATGAGGCAGATCATCCCATCCAACTTTATCCATCTGGCTGTGAAAATTCTTTTAAATTACATAAAAATTAGGACTTTAATGAAAAAGTCTATCAAAAGAAAAACATCTACAAGCATGCTTAGTGTGAGGGATTGCCTTTGAGTCAATGCAATCAACTGGTTTCCCTTAGATAGAAACCTTTGAATCAGTTTGACTGTATGATCTAGTTGAATTGTCTCTGTAAAGTGCCTTGAGATGATATGTGTTTTGAATTGGTGCTATATAGATAAACTGAATTGAATTTTACATTAATTTAGCCCATACGATTTTGTCCACTGCATCATGTTAGAGTGGATAGATAAAGAGAAGCAAATAGACTATAAAAACATGACTGCTGAGTTGCTGTTATTTTTGCCTCTGTATTGAGTGACCCTCTTTCATATTTTCTCTGCATCTCATTTTCTAAAATCTATTTTGATCTCATTTGACAAAAGAAGCTTAATCCACCAACTACTGCCTATATATATATGCTATAAAAATAAGCTTGATGAACTTTACTATTAGTTTACTATTAATTATTTTAACTTCTTGCATGCATCATTTGATTTGGTAAAAGTACCAATGATATTTATCAAATATATTCTTCTTGTTAGGTTTAAAAAGTTTTTTCACGAATATCATCAGAGAACATTTTCCATACAGTAGATATAAAAATATATGTACATTTTCAAAAGGTCAGGTAACATTTGCGGGCTGTGAATGACTTTTATTTTGCTAGAGTAAAGCCAAAACTTATTCTTTTGATATAAAGACTGCACATTCCTGCTTTGGACTACGTTTGAGACATCCCCTTTTTTGTTTCTTTGTTGTTAAAAGAAATTTGATTTCAAAATACTCTGAGTCTGATTGCATACAAATGTACACTGCTTAAAAAATTAAAGGAACACTTTACACAACACAAAAACATCAGATCTCAATGGGGCAAAAAATTCTGCTGTTTATTTATACTGATATGGACTGGGTGATGTGTTAGGAACAAAAGGATGCCACATCATTTGATGGAAATGAAAATGATCAACCTACAGAAGGATGAATTCAAAGACCCCCCAAAAATTACAGTGAAAAAATGATGAGACAGGCTAGTCCATTTTGCTGAAATTTCGTTGCATCAACTCAAAATGGTATTCAGTAATTTGTATGGCCTCCACGTGCGTGTATGCATGCCTGACAACGTCGGGGCATGCTCCTAATGAGACGACAGATGGCGTCCTGGGGTATCTCCTCCCACATCTGGAACAGGGCATCACTGAGCTCCTGGACAGTCTGACGTGCAACCTGGCGGCGTCGGAAGGATCGAAACATAATGTCCCAGAGGTGCTCTATTGGATTTAGGTCATGCGAGCGTGCGGGGCCAATCAATGGTATCAGTTCCTTCACCCTTCAGGAACAGCCTGCGTACTATCGCCACATGAGGCCGGGCATTGCCATGCACCAGGAGGAACCCAGGACCCACTGCACCAGCAAAGGGTCTGACAATGGGTGCAAGGATTTCATCCTGATACCTAATGGCAGTCAGGGTGACGTTGTCTAGCCTGTATAGGTCTGTGCGTCCCTCCATGGATATGCCTCCCCAGACCATCACTGACCCACCACCAAACCGATCATGCTGAACGATGTTACAGGCAGCATAACTTTCTCCACGGCTTCTCCAGACCCCAGGCGCCAGTGGTGGACTTGCCAATTCCTGTGTTCTGTGGCAAATGCCAATCGAGCTCCATGGTGCCGGGCAGTGAGCACAGGGCCGACTAGAGGATGTCGGGGCCTCAGGCCACCCTAGTGAATTCTGTTTCTGATTGTTTGGTCAGAGACATTCACATCAGTGGCCTGCTGGAGGTCATTTTTTAGGGCTCTGGCAGTGCTCCTCCTTGCACAAAGTAGTAGATATCGGCCCTGCTGATGGGTTGTAGACCTTCTATGGCCCTGTCCAGCTCTCCTGGAAAAACTGCCTGTCTCCTGGAATCTCCTCCATGCTCTTGAGATTGTGCCGGGAGACACAGCAAACCATCCCGGGGGAGGACTGCCTGTGCAACCTCTGTAGGGTCCAGGTAGCGCCTCATGCTAACAGTAGGGACAGTGACCCTAGCCAAATGCAAAACTGGCGAAAAATAATCAGAAAAGATGAGGAAGGCAAAAAATGTCAGTGGCCTCCACCTGTAAAACCATTCCTGTTTTGATGGCCGTCTCGTTGTTGCCCCTCCAGTGCACCTCTTGTCAATTTCATTAACACCAAAGCAGCTGAAACCGATTAACACCTTTGCTACTTACCTGACCAAATCAATATCCCAGAACTTTAATTAACTTGATGCTAAACTCTGATTACAAAGTGTTCCTTTAATTTTTTGAGTAGTGTATAAATAAATACATTTTGGCACCCTGTTGGCTTATGTATTCATTCTGATAACACTGGAAATTGGATATTACAAAATGAATTTAATGCACTGAAATATAACACTATTGACATTAGGTAAGATATTACATATGCACTCAAGTAAGTAAAGAAGGAAGCAATAGAGCTGAGTGAGTCAGCAATGCCTAGCACAGGTGCAAAATAAACAGTGGAAAAATCTAAAATAAATCCTGAAAAATCACAACAATTGATAAGACATGAGTAGCACTTAGGATAAAATGTATTGTTCTTTAACTATATGCTTTATAATTTTAGGTGGGCTAATATCATTCTTGATCTGTTATAGTTAGAAGAGGAGCTCACTCAGCTTGCCTTATTGCACATATGTTTTTTTTTTGTAAGGCTTGAATTATCATTTTTGTCGTAAATCTGAAAATAGAAGAATAAGAAAATTTTGTTTAATGTAATAACCTTTCAAAATAAGACATGTATTTAAGTGGATATTTGTAAAAACTTATTATGGCTTTAGACACCTTTAATTTTGTAGAACCAGGGAAAAAAGTGATTCTTTGAACTGATAAGATTGATGATCCCTGCACCAGAGTAATCCATTAAGCAAACATTCATGTTTTTGGACGGTGGGAGGAAACTGGAGTATGTAGAGAGAACCTATGCATATACAAATATACCATACAACGTCTATAAATTAAAACCCCAGGCCAGGTTTTTAAACAAAGGATGTTGTACAAGGCATCAGATCAGTGCCATACTACCAACTATGGCACCACATGGACCTTTACAACATCATTTACATTCATTTTTAATTAATATCTTTTTAAATTAATTAATTAATTTTATTTAATTTTTATAAAAATAAATAAATGCTAACAAGGACATGTTAAGTATTTTAATGGGATCGGTTGGGGGTTAACTCAACGGAATGGGAACTAGATCCAGATAATTGTGCATCTGCACATCCCTGATTATGCCCCTCATTATATATCAATTACTACCTTATTGTATCCCCTTAATGGTTCCCGGTCTGACAGTTTCAGTAATTTGAATAGTATGTGTCTCTCTATAAATAAATACATTTCTAAAAAAACGCCATATTTTATGGTTTATGACTCAACAAACTAACATTCAAAGAAAACAATGAAACATTGAAGAGTCAAGGTCCCTCTGTCCAGCACAAACCTCTCCTTATCTCTTCTGGCTTGTTCCTCCATGACACTCCTGAGAGCAGCGAGTCTCTCCTGATCTCTCTGTTCCAGCACCTCTCTCCTCTTCTGCTGCTTTAAAGAAAAGAGCCTTAGCTGGAAATAAAAAAATAATAATTATAAATCAAGACAAAAAAACAGAAAGTTAACAAAAAGACCAATCACACACAAACTAAGTTGACTCTCAGAAAACTCCCAGGATCAACATGTCCTATTGACTGAGAGGGCAGGAATCAGATAAATATAAATCAAAAGAATGAGATGATATTTCAGTGTCTGCCCGACTATTGTGCTAAATTATATGGAACCCAATGAGGCCTGAATGTTCTCATTAATCTGACAGCGTCCCAGGTTGCTAGTTCCCCCCTTAGCAGACCCCTGAGGAGAGAGTTAATTAAACAGTCAGAAACAAACACGATCTGCTGTTATCGCACCTGTGCGTTCAATAACTAAAACGGATAATCAAAATCCTCATGTAATCATAACAGCACATGTTTACTGTTTCATAGCATCCAGGGCTTTATTTTTAGATTACTTACATTTGTTTATTGACTATTGTTCAGGTTTATTTTGAATTAGGTTTGTTCATTCTATAGCAATCAAGCAAAACAGTTTACATGAAAAAAACGTATTTTAACAATAAAATAGATCTCATTAAAGCTGTTTTGACTATATTTTTGGTACCTTTTGCTCTACCTTGGTGATTGCAAAAGGAAGTAACTGACACTTTTGTGGGACAACAAATATAGACAAAGTCCATACTTTCTCTTTCTGTTGTGATCTAATCGAGGCCTCCTTCTCCTGCTCCCTCTTTAATCTCTCCTCTACTTCCTCTTGGCGTCTCGCTGCGATGGCTGCCTCCAGTTTTGCCACCTCCTCCTGCTGGGCCCGCCATTGCTGCAACTACAAATGCACAACGGGAAGAAACAACAAAAAAGCTGATTATTATCAACAAACAGCTTTCATTTTACTAAATATCAAAAGTACATAAAAAGTTTTATAAAAGATTTCCAGCTGGATTTAGTTTCCGAGCCATACAAGCTCAATCATGTGTTGACTGCATGTTTAAGTTAGTGCTGCTGTTTTGTCAAATGTATCTTATATTTTGCTAGAAAAAACAGCAAACTGTTTCCTTTCCAGTGGCCTCCCTCATCTTTGACCCTTGTGTTTTCTATCCTTCTTCCTCCTAGATAGTCTTTTCTAAATTCTTATCCCTCATTTTTTTGTCATAGAAACATGAAATGTCTCCACTTTAAAATTGCCTTTTCATCAGCGATGTGTAAGTATCCCAATTTGGAAAGATTAGCCGACTTATAAAGGCAAGAAGTCCATAATAATATAAACTCAAAAATGAATCATCACCTTTATACAGGTCAACCAATAGGGTTCAAAATGTTGTTCTCATTACAGACAATTGATTAGACTTATATTACATATGATATAAGATATATAGATTATAGTGTATACTATATATTTCTGGTAATTAGTTATTGATCAGCACTACAATGGTTGTATTGTGCACACTGATGATAAGCCATGGTGATGGAGCCATGGCTGGCTTCAAAAAAAAAAAAAAAACATTCTGTCATTTTTCTGCTGGTTTATAACACCAAACCCCAAATAAACTGTTTCAGGTTTGACATAGACCTATCTTTTTTGTCAAGTAGATTTATATCTCCAAATTCATATCTGGATGTTATGTAATTGTGATGGTTCAGAAATACAGTAGTTCAGAGACACAACAGTAAGGATCATTTTAAATATTGAATTAACAGAATAGCAACAAAACTAACTAAACAATTTATAGAAAAAGATAAAAAGATTTTTAACAAAAATACAAAGCATTGTAAATGCAAATTTTTTAGACTATATGACATCATTGAATAGTGTTAGGAATCCAGTTTATGTGGGTTGTTTTGTGTTTTCTTTTGTTCTCCCTTTCCACAACTAGATGGTGCCTCCTCTCACACCTGCGGCTTGTTGGGCCATCACCAGAGGAGTATTTGAGCAGCGGGCTGTCACTACCTCGACGCCAGGGTGTTTACCAGTATTGGGTACTCTAGCCAAACTGAGATTACCTGAGTCTAATTTATCCCTTGTCTCTCTGAGTCTAAGCTTTGCCTTTGTCTTTGTTTTCTAGTAGGAAGCCTTCCTGATCCACTGGTTAAGCCTGGACCTTCTCAAGGTCTTCTCAAGTCTCAGTCATATTTCCTACAGGCCCTAAACTGATCATTGTGGTCTTCCCTTCAGAGTTTCCGGTTCCAGTTCACCAGTCCGCTAAGGTCCAACTGAGTTTTATCAGCAGTATAATTTCACTCTCTGTTTTTGTAAACCTTCAAATAAACCTGTTACCGGTAACTTTTATCCTTGGTTCTTAAAGCCCACCATGACAAATAGTTGTCTATATTTAACAAGGAAGGAAGGAAGGAAGGAAGGAAGGAAGGAAGGAAGGAAGGAAGGAAGGAAGGAAGGAAGGAAGGAAGGAAGGAAGGAAGGAAGGAAGGAAGGAAGGAAGGAAGGAAGGAAGGAAGGAAGGATTTAGCAATTTTATGGTGTAGGGGAAGTAGCTGTAGTGGAACCTGGCTATTCAGCTCCAGAGACTGCATGGTTACAGACCAGTTTTCTGTGAGGGTTTGAGTTGCCTTTAGTGATGTTTTAGCCCCTGACGAGGCATGCCCCCCTGGAGCTTTATCCTCTCCCTATAGTGGCCTTGACGTCATCAAGAATGAGGGACACTACTATGGGCTCATCCTTAAACTTTAAAAAGTAGTTTGCAGTAGACCTGGGACAACAGCTTGTGTCTTCAGGGTGAACTAGAGTGGGCTCTCACCCTTTCTTTATTTGATGTAGGGAAGATTGTTGCAGCTTTCAGACGTGATGGTACCACAGCCTGAGCTCATGAGATTTAAGGATGTTGCTAAGAACATCCACCCAATGGTCAATGGTTGCCATGAGAACCCTTTTTGGATTCTTGTCCAAAAATCTTTGTTTACACTCACAGAAATATTTAACCAGAAATTTATTGATGTAATTTTTTATTTATACATTTTAGATTTATGTAATTCTTTTACATAACCTACTAAATAACACATACATGATGAATATTCCTTTGTATAATGAAGCTTATTTATAATCATCAGGCTTATGTATTTATTCAAAATGAATATCTATGAGTGTATTTATTTCAAATAGCTCAAGTCTATTGTTTGAGTTGCATAATTTTTCAGCTACCTTTAGGAAACTCAAAAAATAAAGTTTATGTATTTGAAATAAAAACACTTATTAGAATTAATTTTGAGTAAGTATGCCCTTTTATACTGAATACATAAACCTGACGAGTATGTATTTCAGATAAACAAGCTTTATTATACAAATTAATTTGCATCATAAAATATTTATTGAAAACATTTGTGGTAAAGTTATCTAAAAAAAAAAAGTAAATAGGAATCTATGTTAAATTACAGAAATCCTAAAATTTGGGTGAAATATTTTTATGTGTGTATTCACTCTCTTTAGGGCTCTGCATACATACGCAGTGGGCAGTCTGACTGTCTGCCCATCAGAATGAGGAGTAGATTTTGTCGCCTTGCTGAGTGCATCCAACATTGCAGAATTTATCAAGGAAGCTGATGTTATAGTCACAGGAGGGAGCGGCAACCTTATTGCCTAAATACTTTTTCAAAGATGTTTGAGACATGTGATTTTAATTTGATAAATTGTTCCATTTAAAAGAATAAAATAGGGGTTTGTTCCTTCAAACATGAGGTTTCTGTCTTGTTAACCCTTGCTCCTCATTGTAATATAAAAACAGGCATCATTCTAAAGAGACTCTTGCATTATGCAGAACTCTGTCTGAGGCCCGCTGAGTATAGAAAGTGTTGCATTTGACAGGGTAGACGGATTTGCAGATCCAGCAGAGGAAAGCTTAGAAATCCCCAAAGGGACAAACTTCAAATTAACATGCTCTCACACACATTAGTGCCAGCAGTTATCATAAAGTCAATCGTTCTTGACGGGCTGGCCGAGATAAGAGCAGCAGCTGTGTGTTCAGGAGGGGGACTTCAAACGAATCGGGCTCTAATCCACTTCTATTTAACGCTGTTGAAGCAGGAGATAAAGCACAGTTCTCTTTTTAGAAATGCCAATATTGTCTTAAGGCAAGGCAAAGTCCTTAAACTGGCTTATGATATGTAATTTAAGACCCAGATAATAAATCTAGTGAATAAAATGATTGGAGATTTGTATTGTTTTTGTAACTCAAGTGTAGCACCCTAGTCACACTATTTTCTCTGTATGGGAATCTAAGGACCAGGAAAGGGCATATTATTGATTTTAATACCTGCTGGTGGTTAGTATAGGAAAATGTTAAATCAAATTCAAAACCAGACAAATAGTTAGGTTGTCAAGCATTGAGAAAATGGCTATTAAAATACTTAATAGGCATCTGGTCTTCAAGTATTAGGGTTTTTTTCTCACTAAATAAGTCAAGAAATCACCAGTTTTCAAAAACAAGAGGGTAAAGAACCTACTTACAAATGTATTTTGACCCACCCCCAAATTAAATAAAAAAATGTATAAAGTGAAATAGCTTCCATAGCACATAATGGTTGTTTTTATTTTAAACTACTTCAAAGAAATTAGAAAAATGCTGCCTTTCCAATAGGCCAACTTAATGACATCTATAATTTATGAATTTATCATAAATACAGTGTTATTGAAAAAGATACAAATAATAATGATAAATAAATTATTTTGTATTAGTTCTTGTTGAATCATCCAGCTTGACAAAATGTGGCATCAAGGGAACATGTGAAACTTCATCAGCTAACAAGTCACAAAGGGATTATTTTGTGCATATTTACTACCCCATACCCTTCTGTTGAGAGATCTCTCCTCTGGGACGTTGTTTATGTTTGTGGTTTTGATAATGGAAAAAAAGAAAACAAAACCACTTTAAATGCTTGTCAGAATCGTGCTGCTGAAATGGCATCCAACATGCACCGATGGAATTTTCTCTCCATTTCCACTCAGCCCTGGTCAGGGCCATAGGGGGACTGGGGCCCACAATTACTGCTAAATAACTGACATGTTAAAACCTGAGCAGGTCACTTAGAAAAAGTTTCACAAATATAAATGAACAAAAAAGATTATAATCAAATATGCAACATAACAGAGTTGGAAGGAATATGTTGAGAAATCTGCACACAAGAAACCAGGCCCTAACAATATCCATAGACCACTATAGACCACAATAGACCATAGGCCACGCTTAGATGATGTGGCTTGTAATTTCAAGGATAGCTGAAGAAAATCTCTGCAACACAAGCCATGGTTCTTACATAAAAAAGGTGGATTGCTTCCTGTGGATCATGGATTAGTCTCTACCTTAAGTAGAGGACATTGTTTGTCATTGGGTCTTTATTAGTAGTGACAGACCATCTGGCACCTACTACCTAGTAAACTGGAAAGTAGCTCTGGAAAAGTCAAAGATGATAGCTCTTAATTAACCAGTTTTTGGCAAAATTCAAACCATGGTCATGAGCTCTAGATCATGACCAAGATTACAATACCTTCTATACAGTCTCCTATTGGGTTGCTGCAGTCAGCCTTGGAGTTTAGGTGAGCAGCTCTGTTATCCGAGGGGAGCTCAGAGTCAAGTCACCACTCTTCCTCATCAAAAGAAGTCCTCTGAGGTTGTTCAGTCATAAGGATCCCTACTGTGGATTTAATGATTTTTCTCACTGCCTCACTGAGAGGAGGACTGGAACAAAACCAGTATACCTAAAGGGACCATAAGCTCCTTCTGAACCTCCATCCAGAAGGAACTAGAAAGACATGTATGGATTTCTCCCCTAGTCTCTGCAATCAAAAGTCGAACATGGGAAAACAATGGACGGATTGAT